GAAAAAAAAGAAAGAAAACCTAATTTATATATATATATATATATTTGTTTACCTTAACAGTTGCTCACTATTATTCAAAGAGCAATGCTAGGGGCACTCGCCTTGTGCACTCTCCAGCGAACACTTTCACTTTTATTAGGCCACGTTATTTTCGGGTGCAAGAAGTTGCCCTTGAGGGCTTAAAACAAGCTTACGTGGGCCAATGAAAGGGGAAGTGTTGGGCGGAGAGTGCAACAGGCGAGTGCACCTAGCACTGCTCTTATTCAAATAAAAAAATGGGCAAAACAGAAGTCAAACCACAAACCAGTAAAAGAAGGAACGAAATTATCTTAAACAAGCACTGCTGGTCTACTGCTGGTCAGAAAAGTAATCTTAATTCTGAACAAGTCCTCTAAACAAACTTTGATAACAAAATTTAGCTACAAATTCCATACATGGAATTATGGAAACACCTAGAAGCAACTGCATCTGCATCTTTTTTTACTTTATAGGCTTATAAGTATTTTTGGAACAGTATCGTTCCAACGCGACAGATCAAAAACTAGCAAAACAAGGAATGAACCAATCTTTCACAAACACTGCTGGTCTATTACTAGTCAAAGATGTAATCTTAATTATGAACAAGTCAACTGAACATACTTAGTGGAATTGAGTTTCAAATTTTATTCACAGAACTACAGTGAAGCCAAAAGCAACCACATGTCAGCATTTTTTTTACCTTTTATGTTTGCATGGATTGGTGGAATTGTATAGATCCAGCACAGCATAGGTTTTTCCCCCCTTTGTTGTTGTTGTTTGTTTTATTTTATTTTATTTTATTTTATTTTAAGGGGGCACAGAATACAAGTGAAGAAACAAAAACAATGCAAAACTCAACTTGGGTACCCTAGTTGCTCCTCCAATCAACTCCACTGCATATATGTCATCCACTTCCAAACCAGAATACTTGAGAACTTCTTTCACAGGCGTAAGAGAATTCTCCCAGAGATCTTCACAGAGCTCTTCAAACTTCTCATGGGTTATGGTGCTTCTGGAATAGAATCAAATCTCAGCCAAGCATATTAATCATGTTCAGTTTGTTACTGAGAAAAACATATTATAACTAGATCTGATAAATAGTGTGGAAAATAAGTATTTCTTTAAAGATGCAGCGGATTAAATTGGTTGGACACTCCCAAACAGTTTTTAGTTGTGCCCTCGTGGTTTCTTAACTTCCCCAATCTGAGTTGTCTATAAAAGTAAAGTAGTTTTTAATGACTGCATGATTGCTAAACTAATTTCTCAAATACAATGCACAAACTATCTACTGATCACAAATCGAAAGAAAAAATAAGAACATGTTTTCTGGTTATTTTCTCCTCTATCCTACATAGAAAAGAAGTTTATTGGTGATTGAAGCAGTTAATTAATTTTTAAGTTAAAAATACTCAAGCATTTGGCAAAAGCAAATGGCTGAAACTGCAAATTGTTTCTCAAAAATCAATGCTATTGGTAAACTTATTCAAAAGGAAAGCAGAATATAAAATGTCAGATCTTCTTGTTGCTAGCTAAAGATATCTTTCAACAAATTTCAGTTCCTTAGTAGTTGGAAGGCATTCCTAAACTTCTAAATCAAAGCTTTAAATGCTCTCAGACATATCATAAGGTCAGAAATTAGCAAAATTTCTTTGACATATCTTAGAACAATGCTTCCAAGTCTCAACTCATGCTTATTCAGTTAAACAAAAAGACCCTGTTGCATTCTTGTTGATACATGCAATTCATTGAACCTGATTAATCTTTTTAATGATTTGGATATAACTAGTGTATAACTGCTCATTTGGAGTGGATGGTTATTTGGTTAATGCATGACTTTTTATGTGTAAAATACTAAGCATGTTTGAATAAGTTTCTAAAATGTTCATCAACAAACAATATATCAAGAAAACAAGGGAAAAGTTAGGAAACAATAGACGGCATCCTTCAGCATCCTTAAAACCACAGACCTGAAGTCCCTATCGTCATAGAAGGACTCAATGGATATTGGAGCTATTGTATTTGCACTTAGAATTTCTTTTCTATGTTTGACCTGTTTCTTCAATTTAGCCATTGCCTTAGGAGACTTCCTCACATCAACCCCATTTCTGAGTTGTTTATTAAATTCATCAGCAAAGTACTCCACCAACCTCAATTCCATGTTCTGGCCACCGAGTTCTGAGTCCCATCTAACATCCTTAACCTGCAAAAATGGTATACAACTAGTATTAACAATTAATTGCTAAGCTAATTGAGACGTGAAAGCAGTAAATATAAACTACACTAGAAACCTAATAGAGAACTAGGAAATGAACATTAAATAATTTTAGCCATTTGAGAACCATTCTGACAGGTTAAACCACAATAAGGATAGTGCAGATAGCATCTAAAGAGATATCACAAGAAATGGAAGTATTGAGGAAAATCAAAGTCTCAAATTTACCTGAAATTGGTTGTCAGAAACAGTCTTTCCAAACTACTTAGCATTATATGCCGAATAATACACAAGTGCCGCATAAGTGCTGCTAGAACCCATTTCATAAAATATAACATGCCTTGACTCGTTTGAAAAATCTTTGTCAATCCAATACTGCAACGCAGCACCTGAATGCTCATTTACCAAAGAAAGTACATTAATCGCTGCCAACTGTGCTGCCTGGAGCAACCCCTTTCCCTCTGCCTGTCCAAAGTAGGGTGGCACTGAAATCACTGCATCCTTAACTGGCACTCTTGAATGAAACTCAGTTAAATTTGCTGCATAACTCAAAATCATTGCGAGTAACGCCTCAATTGAATAACTAGCAACATTACCATCGATTTTGATTCTCACAGCACCTCTAGAATCTTCAACAATATCAAATGGCAAGTACATTGAATCAATAAAACCCTTGACATGTTTATATGGTTTTCCAACCATGTCCCTCAGCTGGGAATATAATTTATCAGGATAACGGGCCACAATTCCAGCTGCTTCTTCCCCGAGTAACTGAGTTCCAGACTGGAACGCCACCAATGCTGGAGATTTGCACTTGGACATCTCATTTATGACAATCGAGATTGGACTCTGTCCTGGTTTTAGGTTTACCACAGCCACTTTTAGCCAATCTGAACCTAGACCTATGCTTGATACAGCAGCCTGAGACCGTATCGAAAGCAAAAAGAGCATAGATAGAGATAAAACTAATCCCAATCGCAGATTCAACATTCTGAGTGGCAACATGGATTGCCTCTGTCAAACACAAACCAAAAACAGGAATATCAACAAGATTAAACTTGGTTACACAATATATATTTTTTTTTTGGATAAAAGGTGAATTTATTTATCCAGAAATATACTTACAACATAAAGCAGCACAGGAGCTGCTACAAGAGAAAAGAGACTAAGAAAAATACACAATAGCCAGTACACATTCTACTATCACCCAGAAACTAATCTGTCACAACTGCTTCAAGTCCCCGTTGAATTGCAACAGCCATAGGAAGTGATGAAGACCTTGGGCGAGCAAACTCCAGCATTCTAGCTCTAACCTCAAATTGAATCTAATGAAGGATTTACTCTCACCTAAAGAGCTGTAGATGAACTCTTTTGTTTCTTTCCATCCAAATGTTGTAGATTGTGGCATTCCATGAGAGTTTGATCAGAATGCTAAGCAAAGATTTTCTTCTGACCCTTTTCCCCATCCAATAAAATAAGTCCTGCCAAGAGTCCACAAAGGGAACATTGATCATAGTACTAATCTGTCTCCATATTGTGTTAGCATAACTGCACTTGAAGAACAAGTGCTCGGAAGTTTCTGAGCGATTATTGCATAGGATACAAGTATCCAAGATGGTAGGGGTCCATTGCTTTTGTCTAGCTTTTGTAGTCAATCTATTAAGTATGGCTAGCCAACCTATGAAGCTGTGCTTAGGGATA